GGGCTACCACCTCCATTTCAACAGGCAGAGGCCCTCCACCTGGAACCTTGGGGACAGAGCTGAGGAGACAGGACCCCTACCTAGAGCTATGGGGTGGCATTGACATGCCAGTGAGCCTGGAAGGTGAGACATGGAGCCAAAGAGAATTATTCTTGAGCCTTAAGATCTAATGGAATTTGACATGCTAGGTTTTGGATTTGGTCGGGAACTTCTGCTACCTTTCTTTTTGAATGTGAAAGTTTATCCTATGCCTGTCCCATGATCACATTTCAAAAGCACGTAACTTGTCAGGTTTCACAGGTTCACAGCTGGAGAGGAATTTGGCCTCAGGATGAATTGTATCTTGAGTCTCACCCCCATCTGATTTATGTGATATTTAAATAAGACTTTAAACTTTAGATTTTAGAGTTAATGCTGGTATGGGGGTGTCAAAATGGAAGGCTGGTCACAGTAGCTCACACCTGTAATCCCAGCACTTTGGGAGACCGAGGCGGGTGGATCACGAGTTCAAGAGATCGAGACCATCCCTTTTAACATGGTGAAACCTCATCTCTACTAAAAACAGAAAAATTAGCTTGGCTTGGTGGTGCACGTCTGTAGCCCCAGCTACTCAGGAGGCTGAGGCAGGAGAATCGCTTGAACCTGGTAGGTGGAGGTTGCAGTGAGCCGAGATAACGCTACTGCACTCCAGTCTGGAAACAGAGTGAGACTCTGTCAAAAAAAAAAAAAAAAAAAAGGCAGAGCTAGAATGCTATGGGCTGACTTGTGTCTCCCCAAAATTTGTATGTTGAAACACTAATCCCCAGTGTGATGGTATTTGGTGACAGGGCCCTGGGGAGATAATTAAGTTTAGATGAGGTCATGAGTGTGTTGGTCATAATCCCTTTGTGATTGTGTTAGGATTACTGTCCTTTTAAGAAGAGACACCAGAGAGCTGGCTCTCTCTCCCTCAACCCTTACCTCCCACCACGTGAGGACACAGAAAAAGGCAGCCAACTATAAACCAGAAAGAGAGGCCTCACCAGAAACCAACTATGCTGTCACCTTGATCTTGTTCTTCTAGCATCTAGAACTGTGAAACAATACATTTCTATTATTTAAGTTACTCCGTCTATGGTATTTTGTTATGGCAAATGAGTAGTCCAAGGCAGCCTGCAAGCTGTAAAATTTCTAGAGGTGATTTTGGGGACATAGTGGAGAGACCTTTTTATTTTATTATTTTTGTATGTGGGGATAAAAATCAGTTTGGGAATTGCGTGTATGGTTATCTTTCTACTGGAAAACTTATGAGGAGAAAAAAATTGAGTATTTCAAAATTTAAATTCCTTCCTTTATCTGATTAATAAAACAATGCATACATGCATTTCATGCATATATAACATACATATATGCATACATACATTCTTACACTTCTCTTTACTTTGGAACACATTAGAAAGAGCTATAAATTGGGAGGCAGATTTTGTTTCAAGTCCAGATTTTGCCACCTATTAGATGGGATCTCTGCCCCTCAGTTTCTTCAATGGTTAAATAAGGACAATAATATTGTGTTAGCTCTACCCAGATCATAAGAATCATTGTTGGAAGATAAATAGACCATATACATTTTAAAAAATTTAAAGGCTATAAAGATGCAAAGTATGAACATGGCAGAAATAGAAATTGCCTCTGAATTGCTGGGAACCCAAGCCTGAAATAATTCTTGGAAGGAAGAAAGTCACTTAGGACTTTGTAAGTGTCACATTGCTCTTCATGGTTTAAGAACACCAAAATAGCTAAGAAATGTTACGTAAGGAAAATCACTTCTACCACTTGATAATAGTAGTTTTTATGGAACTCTGCTTTTCTCTCATCTGCATGAACAAATATACCCACATGCAAGCTAGGTTCCGCTTCAACTAAAATTCTAAAACAACACAAAACAATAACAGAAAATCCTTGTATGAGAAACTGAAGTGGCCAACTAATTAATTTATCTGGCCCACAATTATCTGTGTACCCATTATGTGCTTAGCATTGCTCTAAACGTTTAAGGAGGTGCCCAGCAGCATCCAAGCTTCCTTTGAGAAGATTACAATGCAGCTGGGGATAAGAGAAGAGCTGTTAAATAGAGCAAGGAAGTAGTACAAGAGATGTCACAGGCAGATTTGTGACAAGTGCTGACAGCGTGTCAAGATTTCAGAGAATGAAGAGATGAGAGAAAGCTGAGCTAATCATTGAATTTCCTGTTGAAGAGAAAGGACTTGAGTTGGATATTGATAATCAACTAGGATTTGGATAGGAAACAAAGAAGAAGTTGGCTTTGATTACAGAAATATGAGTTCGGTAAGTCCTGTACAAATCTACCAGCTGGGACTATCTAGGCAGAATAATAATCTTTATGTACAGTATAATCCATAGTACAATGGCAACTGTACTATGGATTACACTATAATCCTGTGGTGATCATGAATGCCCTGATAGTATAGCTCAGGCCACTACATCACCAGTCCTGCTTCCTTCTGGGTTAGAGGGCCTTCAAAGTATATGAACCCTTGAAATTATAATTTAAACAATAATGCCCAAAATGAGTTTCATGAAACCTTGATACCTTCTGACATATATCAGTAAGTGTTGCCTCTGAAAATGAAGACATGTGGTTAAAGAAGTTTCGGAAACACTAAATACCGTATCTCCACTGGACGGCTTCAATGCTCATTATTAGATGCACTAGACTGATTGTAGTAACTCTGTTCCATTCCCGCCCCCTGCTTTATAAAATCCAAAAATTCTTTAATGGTGGGCACAAAACAAAGATATTCAGCTAAATGAGGGGCAGAACTCTTAGTTACTTACATCTCTGAAGGAGAGAAGGCTGCCACGCAGGGCCACACAGGGAGTTGCACCCGGGGATAGGATAACAGCAAACTGGAGATGCAGAGAGAAATTTATGTCTGGTGTATGGCAAGCAGGGTTTCACAGGCTTCCTGTGAATTGGCTAATTTGAATAATTTTGTGGACTCCAGTGCATAGAGACTGTCCCTAATTGTCTGAGTTCTGGCCCCAGGCTATTTGGGTGAGTGCATAGCGGTTTTCAGTATGAGAGCCCAATAAGGAAAATGGTTTGAGTGTGGGCTTAATCAGTTGCTCAAGAAAGGGAACTGACAGGCTTCCAGTGGGGACCTCAAATTGGGTGAGGATATCATTTCCAAAAACAACAATAAACAAAATAGACCACTCTCTTCTGTGATCTCTACTGCATTCTAGGGGCTAGAAGCCTGATAACTGCATTACTAAGATTCCAGAGGGAACAGAGTTCAGACTAGATGCTGCCAATGGAGAAGCACTTACATGAAAAATAAAAGGCAAAAGGGAGAGATCTACTGTTGTTTCTCCAGCAAGCGGCTGGAGCACCTCTGAGATTTGTTAGATGCAATGTTTTCCTGTCCTTTCCAGACATTCCCGTGAATATTAGTTACCTCAGGTCTGGAGACACTAGTGATAGCGACAGCAGCTTCCTAACTGTGGTGCTCTTTGGATCTAATGGTGGCTTTACCTGATCTTTGCAACTTCAGGCCTTCCAATAAAGTTGTAAGCTCCCAATCGCCTGCATTAAATATTTTTCTGCTAGAAATCTACAGCGGTTACTGCTTTCCTGACTGTGTCCCAACAATATAGCATACTTAAATTTCTGAGAATCCATGCTATAAAACAAAACAAAACAAACTAGCATTTCCCAAATACGTTTGACCATAGAACCTGACTCCCCATTTCCCCTTCTCCCCAAAACCACCTTCTGGTAGCTTAAAAAATCCGTTTCGTGGTTCACTCTTTGGAAAACATCTATGGATTTATATGTTGAGAATTAGGAGTCCAGAAATGTGGGCTTAATCTCAGCTGTGTGACCTTGGGTAGGTCACATCACTTATCTTGTCTTTAGTTTCTCTGCTGGATCAAAAGAAGAGTTGGATGAAGATAACCAGCAATTCTAGCTCTCATTTTTTTCCATTCTGTGAGAAATGTTGTCCTTAAAAACTATCATTGTTCAGGTAGAAAAAATTAAAAATTAAAAAGAGAACTACTGTGTTTTCCTTTGCCTTCTCTTCCTTTTTAGCTTGGTTTGCATGAATATTTTGAGTCAAGCTAAGAAAATTCCAAGGAATCTGGCAGCAAGTAAATAAATGCTGGGTAGCTCTTACTAAAGTGATATGGTATTTTTAGAACTTTAATATATTAGTGTTGATCCTAGAAATGGTCCCTTCAGAAATGAATTTCCTTTTGTACTGACACAGTAAAGAAAGGAAGAGATACAAGAAACAAACCTCCAGCACTCAAACTGAGTCATTTTAAAATGTAGCAAGTTCCTTGTCACTGGGAACATTCAAGTAGAAACTAGATGTCAGCATGGCAGAGATAACAGAATCAGTTTTGTCTTTATTTTGCTATTTTTCTGAAAGGGATGGTACAGATCATTTATACATATCCCCACATTTTATAGATAAGGAAACAAAAAATCAGAGAGGTTATATGGATTTCCCCAGATCTCACAGCAAATCCATGGCAGAACTGGGAGAAAGACACTAGACATCTCCTCCCTATTCCCCACTATACTCTTCTGTACATCTGGAATTCATCTGAGCCTCTTTGAGTAGTAATGTTCCATCACTCAATCTTCATTTTTACATCTCTTTAAAGAAGCAGAGTCATTTTAATATGAGCTGGAAAAGATTCGAGGTTGCCAGATACTATGGGAAGCTGATGAAGTTGGAAAGTTTGAAGTCAACTTTTTGCCCTCCGAATCCTTTTATTTGGGCATCCACGGCAGGGAGACCCCATGCTCCAGCCTTGCTGTGCCTACTGGTGCCAGACAAGGCAGCAGGATTCTGAAAATCCCGCATGGCCCCCTCTACCCTCAGACAGTCCCTCTTGCCTCATTTTGAAACTTCAGTCCCTGCAGACAGCACTGAAAAACCAACCTGAATACTAGTATCATCTACATGGTTTGAAAACAAACTACTCACCTCAGAGAGGACACAAAACACAGCCTGAAGTTGACGCCATTTGTGGTGTGGCTGCTTGGAGCTGGGAGCTGGGCTTCCTCTGCCAACTACTTGACAGAATCCACATTTGTGTTCTCAATGCAGCTGGTAGTGGGTGTGTGTGTAGGGTAATGGCCTTTTCTTTTATTATCCAAATGCTCTTGAAGAGGGAACCAAAAAAAATAAAAAGTGCTGCTAAAGCAGAGAGCTGTCTGTGACTTTGCAGAGAAACAGGTGCTTAATGCAGATCTGGTTTTATCCTGAGCTTTTTTCCCAAAGAAAACCCAAATGTGGTGAAGAAAAAAGAAAGCCACTGAGGTTTTCTCTTTTCCTAAGATGATAGAAAGAAAGAAAAGTAACATCTTATTTTTTAAAAATCTGAATTTTTACCTATCAGGTTCTGTGTTTACTAATTGGGTGCTGAAATTATTAGAAGCCCAAACATCAGCGTCACACAATACACTCATGGCAAACCTGTACATGTACTCCCTGAATCTTAAAAAAATAAAAGGTCTGAGTTTTAAGTAAGCTATTTATTCCTTTTGCTTTACATTATGTGGGATTCATTTAGACTTCTGTGAGAACTTCGAACAGTGAGGAAACAAGGGACAGTTGCAAAAAGGCAGCCCTGATTTTCCAACAAGTTGTGCTTGGAGATTGTGCTGGAAGTCAAGAGGGCAGGTTGGATTAGGACGAGTTGAGCCTTGCACTTTTGTTTTCTTTTTAATTGTTAACACTAAGCAACATCTTTAACTCTACTCTGCTCTCTTGGCCCCCATGCTAACCTGATCACAGATTCTCTTATGATTTCCGTTTGATTCCACATCCACTGTCACTCTATCACTATTCCTTGCCTTTCACTCTTGTTGTTGGCTGCTATCATCTAAATGTTTATGTGCCCTCAAATTCGTATGTTAAAACCTAATCACCAATGTAATGATGTTAGGAGATGGAGCCCTTGGGGGGTGACTAGGTCATGATTAGTGCCCTTAGAGAAGAGACCTCAGAAAGCTGCCTTGCCCCTTCCACCACAGGACGAGAGTGAGAAGGCAACCATCTATGAAACAGAAAGCAGACCCTCCCTAGATTCCAAGTTTTCCAACACCCTGATCTTAGAATTCCTAAGCCCCAGAACTGTGAGAGGTAAATTTCTGTTATTGATAACCCCCCAAGCTATGATATTTTAGTACAGCCTGGACCAATGGACTGAGTGGACCAAGGCATTGACTTCTTACTGGTATGCTGCTTCCACTCTCAACTCTCTACAATTGGTCCACGTGGCCGCTGAACACAACCTTCTCAAGCCCAGATGTAATTCTATGAGTCCCTCATTCAAAATCCTATATCTTGACCCGCAAGTCCCTTCATGACTGTGACGGTTAATATTGAGCGCCATCTTTGGATTGAAGGATGCAAAGTATTTTTCCTGGGTGTGTCTGTGAGGGTGTTGCTGAAGAAGATTAACATTTGAGTCAGTGGAGTGGGAAAGGCAGACCCACCCTCAATCTGGATGAGGACCCTTTAATTAGCTGCCACCTTGGCCAGAATAAAAATAGGCAGAAGAACGTGGCAAGACTAGACTGGCTTAGCTTCCGAGCCTACACCTTTATCCCATGCTGGATGCTTCCTCCTCTCAAACATCCAACTCCAAGTTCTTCAGCTTTGGGACTCGGACTGGCTTCCTTGCTCTTCAGCTTGCGGACGAACTATTGTTGGACCTTACCTTGTGATCATGTGAGCTAATACTCCTTAATAAACCTCATTTTAGATATACATCTATCCTATTAATTCTGTCCCTCTAGAGAATCCTGGCTAATAATGACCTAACCAGTTCTCTTCTCTCCTGCTCTGATCTTGAGGCAGATCACATATCCTTTTTCCTGTTCTTCATATGACACCTGCGACATTTCAGAGGAAACGTGTGACATAAATTTACACTTTTCATACCTGAGGATTGGCAGCAATGTGCTCAGGGCTATGCAATGTGTCCCCTCTCCTCGTTGTCTTCCTCTGTATGGAGCAAAGGGAGTGTCTATGATTTCTCCTCTGAGCAGGACAAGTATTTTGTAAAAGGCCTATTTATTCATCTGCTAGACATTTGTTTAAACAGCAGGTTGTCTGGTAGGCTCCCCAGATACATTAGTAAAGAAGACAAGCAAAGTTCTTGCTTGTGGGGAGCTTAAATTTTGTGTGAGATGCAGATAATAAACAACTAACTAAATAAAAATAATAATTATGGTTAGAAATGTATGAGGGGGTGTGGTGCATTGCACCAGGATAGAGAGGGATGCTACTTAGATAGGGTTGTCAATTAAGGAATCTATGGCAAGATGTTAATTAAGTTGAAATATTAAGGATGATAAGGAGATTCTTATAGGGTACTGTTTTGGAGAGTAAATGGCCTGGAGGTGTAGAAACAGTGGTCAAGCAGACCATACACAGCAGGAAAGGGTGTGTTCCAGCTGACCACCTCCCTCCTTCTGGGAGGACAGTAAAGAAATATCCAGGGTACTCTTTGTCATCCCTTCCTCTTCGATTCGACGTTGTATTGTAAGTTCTAGCCAATACATTAAGGCATAAAAAATAAATAAAAGTTAAAAATATTGGAAAATAAGAAGTAAAACTATTTTTTATTTGAAGACAGCATATTGTATATGTAGAAAATCTAAAAGAATTGATAAACTCTCAGAACAAATATGTTAAGTTGTCAAGATCACAGGATCTAAGTTTAATGTAAAAATATCAAGTGTATTTCTAGGCCAGAAGTGTCAATTTTGAAAATGGCAGCAAGAATAACTATATTATTTACATTATCATCAAAAAAACATTACATTGGAATAAACCCAATGAAAGATTTGCAAGACATCATAAAACACATCCACCATGATCAAGTAGGGTTTATTCCTGAGATGCAAGGTTGGTTCAACATACACAAATCAATTAATGTGATCATCACATAAACATAACTAAAACTAAAAACCACATGATTATCTCAGTAGGTGCAGAAAAGTCTTTTGATAAAATTCAACATCCCTTCATGTTAAAAACTCTCAATAAACTAGGCATTGAAGGAACATACCTCAAAATAATAAAATCAATCTATGACAAACCCACACCCAACATCATACTGAATGGGCAAAAGCTGGAAGCATTTCCACTGAAAACCAGAATAAGACAAGGATGTCCTCTCTTACCACACCTATGCAACATAGTATTGGATGTCCTGGTCAGAGCAATCACACAAGAGAAAAAAATAAAGGGCATCCAAATAGGAAGAGAGGAAGTCAAACTATCCCTGTTTGCAGATGGCATAATTCTATACCTAGAAGACCCCACAGTCTCTGCCCAAAAGCTCCTCAAGCTGATAAACAACTTCAGCAAAGTCTCAGGACAAAATCAACATAAAAAAATTACTCACCCTCATATACACCAACAACATTCAAGCCGAGAGGCAAATCAGGTGCACAATCCCATTCCCAAATGCCACAAAAAGAATAAAATACCTAAGAACACAGCTAACTAGGGAGGTGAAGGATCTCTACAAGGAGAAGTACAAACCTCTGCTCAAAGAAATCAGAGGTGACACAAACAAATGGAAAAACACTCCATGTTCATGGATAGAAAGAATCAATATCATTAAAATAGCCATACTGTACAAAGCAATTTATAGATTCAATGCTATTTCTATGAAACTACCAATGACATTCTCCACAGAAATAGAAAGCGCTATTTTAAAATTCATATGGAACCAAACCACAGCCCAAATAGCCAACGCAATCCTAAACAGAAAGAACAAAGATGGAGGCATCATCCTACTTGACTTCAAGCTATACTACAGGGCTACAGTAAGCAAACAGCATAGTACTGGTACAAAAATAGACACACAGACCAATGGAACAGAGTAGAAAACTCAGAAATAAGACCACAAACCTACAACTATCTGATCTTCAACAAAGCTGATGAAAACAAGCATTGGGGAAAGTATTCCCTATTCAATAAATGGTGCTGGGATAACTAACTAATCATATGCAGAAGATTGAAACTGGACCCCTTCCTTACACCATATACAAAAATCAACTTAGGATGGATTAAAGACTTAAACGTAAGACCCAAAACTATAAAAACTCTGAACCACAACCTAGGCAATACCATTCTGGACATTGTGTTGGTCCGTTTTCATGATGCTGATCAAGACATACCCAAGACTGGGCAATTAACACAAGAAAAAGATTTATTGAACTTACAGTTGCACGTGGCTGGGAAGGCCTCACAGTCATGATGAAAGGTGAAAGCATGGCAGCAGACAAGAGAAGAAACTTGTGAAAAGAAACTACCCTTTTTAAAACCATCAGATCTTGTAAGACTTATTCACTACCACAAGAACAGCATGGGAAAGACCTGCCCCATGATTCAATTACCTCCCACCAGTCCCCTCCCACAACACTTGAAAATTCAACAAGAGATTTGAGTGGGGACACAGCCAAACTATAACATTCCACCCCGCCCCCTGCCAAATCTCATGTCCTCGCATTTCAAAACCAATCATGCCTTCCCAATAGTCACCCAAAGACTTAACTCATTTCAGCATTAATGCAAAAGTCCACAGTCCATTGTCTTATCTGAGACAAGGCAAATCCCTTTGCCTATGAGCCTGTAAAATCAAAAGCAAGTTAGTTACTTCCTAGATACAATGGAGGGTACAGGCACTGGGGGAATACAGCTGTTCCAAATAGGAGATATTGGTCAAAACAAGGGGCTACATGCCCCATGCAAATCTGAAATCCAGTGGGGCAGTCAAATCTTAGAGCTCCAAAGTGATGTCCTTTAATTCCATGTCTCACCTCCAGGTCACGCTGATGCACGAGGTGGGTTTCCATGGTCTTGGGCAGCTCTGCCCCTGTGGCTTTGCAGGGTACAGCCTCCCTCCTGGCTGCTTTCTTGGGCTGGTGTTGAGTGTCTGTGGCTTTTCCAGGCACACAGTGCAAGCACTCAGTGGATCTACTATTCTGGGATCTAGAAGACAGTGGCCCTCTTCTTCCAGGTCCACAAGGCGGTGTCCTCGTAGGGACTCTGTGTGGGGACTCTGACCCCACATTTCCCTCCACACTGCCCTAACAGAGGTTCTCCATGAGGAACCCACCCCTGCAGCAAACTTCTGCCTGGATATCCAGAAGTTTTCATACATCCTTTGAAATCTAGGCGGAGATTCCCA